ACGATCAACCGTCGTAAGATTTTGTACGTTCAACAAACACATCTTTACCGTGCGAGGCTGCGATTAGTTTCACCAGCCAAATATGAAGCAAAAGTTAACCATTGGGAGGTTAGCTGGTGTTATCAAAGGCGTGTTGAAGTTCCATGCCATTTTGGGAGGGGGCGGTGAGGAAATCCAACACAGAAAGGGCCATAAAACAGAACTGAGGCTCAACTTGATCTTCGATGACATACAGTTATACAAACAACCACAACGGATATCACACCAAACAGTACCACCAGAGCAGTAACAATATAAATCCAGATAGGTCTCACCGCTGCCGGAGCTTTACGGGTTGAAGGGGAGAACAAAAAGTAGTGATTGTATTCCAGATTGATTTTGCCTAATTTGAGTTTGGTGATAAAAAGGAAGTTTTGCACGCAACCATTCATACGAATACAAAATGGAATGACTGTGATAAGTCATACATCGGAAAGAAATGTACTGATACAACATAGTCTGAATAGTGTTTGATCGTTATTCAATTTCAGTTTCAGATTGTGACGCCTGAATATGCTCAACTGGTTAACTGAAGGGAAGTAGTTCACTTGATAGAAGCTTAAATTCGCCGTTCCGGGGTGGGGCGTGAACTACGCTGCTCCCATGCAAGAATGCAGTATCAATCAATAAGTTGCTCCTGTTTCGCTCTTACCAAGAGAAACGGATAGCACACACGACGTTTGGCTAACTTTGATCTAGTTCCCCCTTTGTTGCATACCTGGGAGTACTTCTTCGTGTTTAAGAACCTCTTGGAAATGAACTCCATGAATTGTGCCCCAAAAAAGCTTGAGATCATTGTAGATCCTGTTGCACAAATGTGAAGGGAACTAGGTTGATGTCACTTTCCTGGTGTCGCATGGTTCTCAGTCTCACTCACTTTGTCGCAGTTTCACCCGGATGGTAGCACAGAAGAGGCATAGGACCATTAAATGATGTGCATTCGTAGACAAACAAACCAATCAAGATAAATTCAGCTGATCTGAATATCATGCTGTTCAAGGTCCTGCTGACGAAACCAAGGTTAGATACTCTGGTCGATGAACACTTGTATTCCGTTTCCAACAGCAAAGATAATGAGTGTCGAGCTGAAATCGCGCTCTTATTACAGCTTGCCAGCACTGGGTGTATTTAGCGGTGCAAGGATTTGAACATCGTACATCTAACGTGCGAGTTGACCGTGTTACCACTACTTCTGTGCTACTGCAGCGTTTCGCAAAGGAAAATAAATTACAAATATGAATTTGAACTAATTTCTGGTCGTTTGCTTTGATTCGTTCTATCGCTAATTGTCTCCCTCCTCCTTGCGGCGTAGCCAAACTTAAAATGGTACTTACTGCTAGGTGTCACGATATGGAAGCCCGCGTTAAAGGATGTTAGACTGAATGTCCGAAGCACAGGAAGGACATACTAGCGTATTCTGTAGTGTGATTTAAAAGCACTAACTGTCTGGTCTGATAGAATTGCGGTCGAACATCCCTTTAGGGGCTACAGCGAAATTTCTCGCGGCAAGAGGTTTCATATCAGTGCATATAAGTACAGACAAACAAAATGGGTATATCAGAGTTCAGTGGCCTCTGTTTATTCTGGCGAGTAGTCCAAGTTGATGATATGTCTGCGGGATGGCCTCGGATGAGACTTGATGACATGCTGTGTTGGAATTCCTCATTAAGTAACTGGATACCATTTTAGCGAATATACACTCATTTGCAAACTAATTTGGTTTTTCGAGAGACTCATTTGGAACCCAGCTGAATCTCTCGTTTGTGATGTTCTCAGGCAATGTGCTGCACCAGGCCGCCTCATGTTTCAGTCGCTACGAAGTATACATGTATCGCGATATCCCTAATATCGTAGTGACTGAAACATGAGGCGGCCTGGTGCAGCACAGTGCAGCACATTGCCTGAGAACATCACAAACGAGAGATTCAGCTGGGTTCCAGGTGAGTCTCTAGGAAAAACCAAATTAGTTTGCAAATGAGTGTATATTTGCTAATTTCATGCAATTTGGTTTCAAGTAGAACATAAGGTTGACGGGAACCCGGGGATTGCGCCTAACTGATGAGCCCAAAAAGGGCGAAACCGGTCGTGGGCTGTCGACGGATTTTCAGCAACCCTTATGAGTGTATATTACAGTGGATACCATTTTCTTTGGCCAGAATACCTCGCGTTTGATATCCACACCAGTGTCAATCAGATGGACATCGCTGTCTATCAGAAATCCACCGTCCTCACATGAATCTACGGATTGGAGCAACCCACTAGTGTCAAGTGCCTCCGTCGACGGAGAGCACGTCTGTTCCTATTTTCACTTTCACTGTGATGAGACAAGTCGATTTCGAGGGTCTCCTCTATTATTGCTCTTTAATAAACACCAAAGACACTGCCCTGTCTCAAACTTGCAGTAGAATCACTTACCGCTCTCAAGAGTTTTTTTCCAATGGGTCTTTTCTTCATATTTGGGACAGATTTCTCAAAGGCATGAGTGTGTTCAAACTACACTATACTCGGTGCTTACTAGAAGGATATATTCATGTCACACTGCAGTTTGAATGCACGACTAACGTACAAAGATACGGATGTACGAATTTTACGCTTTCGAGTGTTTGCTTGAGAAAACTGATCATCATCGAATAGTGTCAAAGACGTAGCCGTTGGATGAAACTGCTAGATCTAACTGAGGATAGTGTGATTCGTTTACCCCGGGTCAGAATATTATCACGGACGTGATCACAGACCATTCTGCTAGCATATACACCATGAGTCAGGTGACCAAATACCTAGAACTTGGAACTTTGTATCTACAAATTCTTCATGTCGCAGATTACCTTGGGCGTTAGAGAGCAAATTTACTGACCGGAAGGTCCGTGGTTCTAACTCCACTGCTGCCTCTCGACGTCTTCTGTCTAGGTTCGGGCAAACTGGCAGTACCCCAGCCCTCATGCTTCCTTCGAGTGGCATGGCAGCCTGGCATCGAAAGAGCGGTACAACTGAATGACCACTATATTACTTTAGTGAGTATCGATCCACTGAAGCTGTTCATCTTTGACAAATATTCAACTATTTTTATCTCGCGGCTTAGTTCTTCCTCGAGAGTTTGGATTTTGAGTGGAGACTGTGGAACAGGCACGGTCAATGCACATTTAAAGAAAATGCATGCATCACTGAGGTGCAGAATTTGAATTGCCAGTTGGTTTGGAAATAGTGATCACTAAGGGTAGGTCGTGAAACGGTTTACGAAAAGAACTCGGGGTTGGGGAATGTTTGCTATGGTTCAAAAACCAGTCAATGCAAATGATCTGACCGTTCAGGAATACTATTTACAGCACCTGATCAACGGATGCACCGAGACACCTTAGAGCTTCTTCCTCAGCTTTTTAAGAAGAGATCCAACTTCCAAGTACCCTGCATTTCTTGTGGCCAACTCGTGTTCCGTGTGTTCCTTGAATTCCAGTAGACGGTTCGGTGTTTTCAAAGCAACCTAGTGTTTTGTGCATCGGTCACGGATCAATTTCCTTAATACGCACTCGCAAGTGACTATGGGGATGAAATGCTGATAATTCCAGTCAATGACCGTATTGAGAATCGTGTTCCGGTTAATCTGATCAGATATTCTCTGTCTGTGGCTGCTGAGTGCTAGTATGGCAATAGTTGCTTTTTGTCATCTTACTTCAGCTGTGGGGGCGTTTGACAATGAAATCTTCTACGCGCCACAACGTTAGCAGTCCCCCACTTCTCGGTTCGCACGAACAAACGGAGAGTGAAGAAAAATTTGAAGCCACTCTAGAATAAATTGGTTGCAAAATTTAATTGTAACGAGCCGTGGCATCGGTATTCTCAACTTTAGTACATCCTAGAATACGCCCCTTCGGCAAAGACTAGTTCATCTAACTGGGGCGTATCAGCGAAGTGTTATCCAGACTTCCGGATGAATGAGAGCACACAGACAGCAACTGAAAAGAGGCTGACTGATGTGAAGAAGCTATACACTAACATACTGACTGGTTCCTTACCACAAAATTGTAAGTTATTCAAAAACAAACCATGTTGGATCAGCTTTTTCTATCTATTCATTGAGGAAATATTTATGATTGGGGAATCCGTTTGGATAGCTTTTTTTGACGAAGTAAGTCCCTTGTTTCATAGATTTTAGCTACCCGGTCACCCACACGCTTGACTGTTCGGCTTACATTCGATCACTGGATCACGAGACTTGTTTTTTCTTCATACTCAAACCACGTCACATTAAGCTGACTCATCGAACACCGATTGTCTGTATCGTCTAATCAGCGTAGCAACTACTCATGCGCTGACGCGCCCACGTACACGCAAACGGACCTACTGCATATAGGGAAATCGAACACAGCCAGCACAGAGACGCGCGCGCACGCCGGAA